GGGTTGGGTTTAGGTGGATGAACCTAGTAGGGGACTACGCGTTCTATTGTTCTTCCACCTGTACAATGTACAAATCTTTAGAAACAAATAGTTAGCCTTTTTATGCATCACAAATTATATCCAAAACTCTTTCATATTCATGCAAAATTCAAGACACCATGCTGAATTACTATTTTACTCTTCTTGTCTATGGGACAAAAGATGATGTAATGTCTCATTTTAGTTGTTCAAGACCCTGGCAGTAGACTGGTCTGTTTTGTTACTTTTGTTCAGATCCACATGAAGTCCATCTCTTGTCAACATCTAAACACAGTTGTTTGGGAGCAATACATACATTTTAAAAACAATAAAATAGCTGGAAATTCATCACATAATCGTGTTTAATTCAGCCCTTAATTCATGGGTCATATTTCTATAAAAAAAATGTGTTCATGTGGACACGAATAGATCTTACCATCTTTAATCACAGATAAATAAAAATTCAAATCATGATTCACCAGAAAAAAAAATCATCCAATCACGCTTCATGTAAAAAGTATAGGGGACCCTCATAGTTGATACTTAACTTGGAGAGCAAAAAAAGTCACAGCACAGGGTACTGTAAGAATCATGAGCATAACACTGAAGCCAGTTTCAAAATCCTATGACAGACCAACACTCAGGGTCTTAAAATAACTGAGGAGAATTTGCTACCTTTCTTAATATCAAGAAATGGATAGATATTCTAGTCTTCTCAGATAAGGACGAATAAACTGTAGGCCCCGTCTCCTGCAGGGTTGGGGGTAGGAGACGTTAATTTCCCACACATGAGATTACTGTGTGGTGGATGTCCTCCCCTGGGATGGGATGGGTGGGTTTACTGGACAAGCAGTAATTGGTGCAAGCCCTTGCGGTGTCCCTGCCTGTCGACGAATCTAATAAATTATAAATTACTTTTTAGCTGTGGAACACAATGAAGTTGACTAAATCTTATCTGTGCTTATTTTAAATCAGGGATGACATTTAATTGGGGTGCTCTTCTTGGCTATGCTGCAGTTCAAGGAAGCTGTGATTGGTCAGTTTGTTTGCCACTGTACGTTGCAGGAATTAATTGGACACTCATTTATGACACTATCTATGCCCATCAGGTTAGTGTAGTGAAATGCAAAATGACAGTTCTCTAGATGCGTTGGAATGTTGGTAATTATGTTACTAAACGTCTTAGTTGGGAAAAATATGGTTGATTTTTAGTTGAGGCCTTGGTGCTAAGAAGTGTGGGTTGGAGATTGAAATCCAGATGTCTTCACAGTGTTCTTTAATTAGACACATGAGTATCATACCTGTCTTGATCTGAAATAAATTTTAATCCTGGTAGGCTAGTTTTTGTTTTTGTTTTTTTGTTTTTTTTTTTATGGCCAGTTACCAAAAATCCCCAGAGAACACTGTGCCTTTTACAATTGGTGTGCAATGTTATTCCATCCAATTCCATTCAAAACTTATTGCTGAAATGTTCCCACCTGGCCGTGATTTGACTTCTTTCAATGTCATCAAAATGAACCAATGATTGCTTATTTTAGGACTTCCATAACATGGATAATTACACCATACAAATGAACAAAATCTGTCATTAGATTTGAGGCACCTTGATGATTTTTTATTGATTTTTTTCACACAGGATAAGGACGATGATGTCTTAATTGGTGTCAAGTCCACAGCATTGCTATTTGGAGATCAAACAAAACCTTGGTTAACAAGATTTAGTGTTGTCATGCTAAGCAGCCTTGTTCTTGCTGGAATGAACAGTGATCAGACATGGCCATACTATTTGGGACTGGGCAGTGTTGCTTCCCACCTTGCATGGCAGGTAAGTGTCTGGTAAATGTTTCCACGGGAATAATTTGTCATTACAGCCCCTAGTTGTTTGAAGGATGGACTGTGCCATCCACTGGACAAATATGTATATCCAGCGAATAGTACGTTATGTTTTGTGAACACTGATTTGTTGAATCTCTTCACCCAGTTGTGTTTAAATGAGCATCAGTGAATTTAATCCTGGGGGATAACCCTTTGATGAACTAGCATCCCATCC